ATATTGATGCAATATTAGACCAATATTGCTAAATAGACACATTGGAAAAATAAGAAAAGGCGTCCAATGATGCGGTATCCAAAAATGCGGTGTCCATTTATTTTTTTTGTGAGCGCTATTTGTAAGTTTCTTACCCATTATTTCATATAGGTGGTTTTTCCGAAGGTTTACCCATTTCTACTCTGTGTCATTATTATGAGAATAACGAAATGCTTTATTTTCTGACACTCTTTCGTGGCTTTTACAGATTATCTGTGCAAGCAAGTCGTTCGACAAGTACTATTTAATTTATATTTCCCGCGTTTTCGGCGAATGGACGCAAGAGCGAGCGGCGTGGTTAAGCGTTTGAATTCGAGTTCTCAAATATCAAAGCAATATCGAAGAACCGTAAAAAAGACCATGATCAAAAACGTCAATCAAGAACTCGGAGGGTCGCAATTTCGAGGGCTCTGCGCTTATTGTAAATTCCATCTCGTTTAATCTACACCGCAGCATACGGACAATTGTATCGGCGCGGCTGCGCCGTGAATATTCAGCCGCAACGCGCACGCTCCGAGTGTTCGCCTACGATTTGTCGCGGCCAACTTCACGTCAATGCCGCGGCGGCCTGGCCCGAGCAACGCGAGCGGTACTCTCGTACGGCGGAGAGGTTAGCCGGAGCTGCGTACGCGTGGACGGATCGCAAGACAATCTCTCCACGACCGAGGCGGAACAATTTGAAATTTTCCAAGTCAGGCGGACGGCACCGATGCTGCCGCCGCGTCCCGTCCGCTGCTCTCGTTCGCGTGGCGCGAAACGGGCTCGTGTGACAGTTTCGTGACGTGTCTCCGCGCGGGGGTCGTCTGGCAGGTGCGAATCAGCTGTGTGCCACTCCGTGCCACGTATATGCCGATATTTCCGCGACGACGCGCCGTCGCACCCGCGCCGTAAAGCGCGATGCGAATGGCCCGTCCGTCGGGGAGCCACGAATAAATCTGTTTTCTCTCCCAAGCCTCACGATGATTCTCCATTCAACCCACTTCCCTCGCGCGTGATTATCGATTAACGAGTAAACGATTTTTTAAAAATGCGATTCCACGTCGATTTACGTCACCACATTTTTTTCGACGAGCTCGGTCGTGTCTCGCGTACGCTCGACGTGCCCTACGAGCTGATCTGTCATGTTGAGAGATCGAGCCACTCTTTGGCGTGTCATGTTAAAGCATTAGGCTATTGTTTGGCGTCAAACGTAGTCCTGAAAACGTCCGTTGTTTGTTAGATACGTGGACTCGTCCGAGTGCAAAACTCCCTTCTGTTTTGCCGTTTCTATTGCATAACGGTATAAGTGTTCTTTGCCTCTAATCTAATCCCGTGTAATGATCTATGTAACTTACACAGAGCTTATTTTGCAATTTTCAGACAGATCTACATGTTTATATCAGGATATACAATATTTATTCCAAATTGTTGGCCGCTGCTACGTTGAACAGAGAGATGGCATAGATCGATGGCGTGCAACATGTCGTTATTATGAGAAAGCGGAGGAGGAGCTCTTGACAAGGCAAATTGGTGGTGTGTCTGCGTTCGAGAGAACTTGTAAAAATATGCTAAACGTCCTGCTCTGCCAAGCACGATGTTTAAGTTGGAATCCTATATAACACCGGTGATTCTCAGCTATGTAGAGAAATATGTAAAAAATTTCAAGCCGGAACAGTCGCAGGTATAAATACACGCATACAGAATCTCGCTGGGCTTCGTGTTAACTTTGCTGTATACTTTTTCTGCAAATTCGCACTCTCTGTTATCAATGTCGATAATTTGGGACAAGGAGCAGGACGGTGGGAACAAAGGAGTAAAGCTGTAGAATAATTTCTATCACACGACTGTGCTTGCGCTTGTTCCAAAGTATCGAAGCGAGTCAGCATTTGTGCTTTCGCGTTGATTTCTCCTCTGGAACCGGACGGTTCCACAAAATACCCGAGAATGAGTGACGTTTCTTTTAGGTATCTTTGTGGGGCGGAGATGCGTCGTTTCAGAATCTGGATCTACGATTAGAGGTATTGGAGGAGCAACTTAATCTTCCATTTGTCTTTGTTAGTGGCCATATACACGAATTGTTGATACACGTTCCTTGGGTAAAAATTACATCTGAGCCAATAGTTGTTACCATTAATACCATAGGTACGTAGCAGCTCTGTCTTTCTCTCTCTCTGATATTATCTAATATATAAAAATATATTTTTTAAAGATATAGAGGAAAGTCCCCTATTATAAGATAGGCTCCTAATATGTGATAGCGGAGTTTCTGCTGAATTAATAGGCATCATCTGTTGGTTCCACCATGAATTTATTGCCCTTGGAGTGAAATCTGTCTAGTGAAAAAAATTGATTGCCGGTCGTGTAATCGTTGCGCAAAAAGACTTGTCATTGAATTTGGACGTTGAAAGCCTACTATCTCACATTAGACTCCTGTCTCGTAATAGAGGACTTTCCTCTGCTAATACATTGCCTATTTCTCTTTTATAGAGTGTATCTTAAAATTAAAAGATGAGAATACCACAGAAACCAATACAACGACGTTACAAAAGAAGAAGGAGATTGAGCAGTATGTATCGCTTTTTGTAATTGAAATTATAATAAAACTTCATCATTTCCTTCGTAGTATTATTTATCTGGTTACACTTTTCTTTCTTTAAATGGCAGTTATTAATGGTTGTTAAAATAATACTTAATTTTCCGTGGCAGAGAGGAGGCTCCACCTGGATATATTAAAAGTGTAGTTACAAAAGTTATTAATAATATTACCATTCATTGCAACAATCTCATCTTGAAATACGTGGAGGAGGACATTGTGCTTAGCATAAATGTCAGATTTTTAAGTATGCAAACTGTCGACAATAAATGGGAGCCAGCGTTTGCCGGTAGGTATTTTTTATGTACAATCGCGGGGTCCAAAATTCTTATTAACATAAAATTATGCTCATTTTCAATACATTTAATTAATATTCAGAGGTCAACACTCAAGAAGTAATGCTTAGGAAAGTTATTACCATCCAAGACCTGACACTGTGTCTAGATAAAATGGATGCATCCGGCAAGATAGAGATATATCAGGTATTTCTGAAGACGTATCCTCACATTTATCTTGGAGACGTGAAAACGTGTCTTACTAAATGATTTGAATGTTAATACAGGATCCCGTTTTGTATCGATGTTCAATGACAATCCGAATGATTATAAACTATCACAATAACACTTCGAAGAGAGCATCTATCACAAGACTTGATCTTCACTGTGAGAAAATGGAATTTAGCATGACCGAACAACAAGTACCGATGCTCCTGAGATTGAGCGCCTTGGTATTGGCATTGCAAACGAAGCAATTTCCACCGAGCAGGGAAAAATCTTCCATTACCATGGACGATAGAGACGACGTTGCACAAGGTTCGACATTTGTTTTTGACTGCTGTGCCGCGAATAGTTTCACATGTTCTGAAAATGTATATTATGTATTATAATATTTCAGATGACACAAATCAGATAGTAGGCACTTCCACGGATGCGGTTGGATGGGGAGGATGGGCTTGGGAAATGGTGTCATCTGTTCTACCTGTTGACTGGGACAATAATTGGTCTGCCGAACAACAAATGGCATATTCTGGTCATACCATACATTTAGGCGTTTATATAGACGATGCTACTTTAACATTTAAGGTAACGAACGTAATATATTTCGGTGAGAATTTTACCTCTATTTAAATAAGCGTGGAAATGTAAAAACGAACTTTATCCATTTTCGCAGACTGTCGAGAGTGTCAAAGTGCAGATATTTTATAAATCTCGAAAACTTAGGTACAAATCCTTTCTGTCGCTTCAGTTAAACGGAGTTGTGATAGACACTTTAATTCAAGGAATAGCAATGACGAGTCTCCAAGTTGGAGTAGCATGTGTTCAGCTTTATCCGCGAGGGACATGCAGCTGCGGACATGTAGAAGTTGCTGACGGTGTGCAGGTAAGGTGATTAATTACTATTGTTAGATATGAAATTAAATGTGGAATGTCTGAGAGGTAAATTATTATATTATAGCCGCCTCTTTACGTAACAGCTGGAAACTTAAATACCGACCATTTGAAAGATTCACTGTTTGACAAGGAGGCAGCGGAAAATAAGGGCAAGAAAAGGGATTACAAACAAGGAATAGATCAACATTTGACGACGTTTTCGGGTATAATATAATTTATCTGAAACGCGTATAATATTTATTCTTATATATACAAAAAATAATAGAGCTTACATCTTTTTCAGTTGAAAAATTATTAGAAAGATGTCCGGCGTTTGTGATGGATTATGTTTATTATGTGGAATTGTCCGATGAAGTGACGCCTGAAAAATTGCTCGAGCTTGGATCAAATTTTGAATACAGGTGTTTGAAAAAGTTTTAAACAATCACGTGTAAGAGGTAAAGAGAATTCTCACAAACAACTTGTTTTTTGCAGCAATTTTCCGGAACGCAGAGTGATAAGATATGTAACTGGAGATCTGACAGTCAGATTGTGTTCCGGGATTTTTCATCGTATCGATACCATCAAACAAGCTGCTGCAAAATACGATTACAATCCCTACCTTGTAATGAAACCAGGTAAATACGTAAATTAAAGTTGCCAGTGGGATTCTATATCCATATTAAAATTTTAGATCCTTTCATCGATGAATTGCCTCCCGTCACATTGGAGGAATATGAAGCGCTCAGGGAAAATGTATCAATGACGGAAACAAAATTTGTACTAAAAAGGGCATCGCTGCAATTACAATTGGCAGATCATTGCGTCACGGGGATACCACGACAACATAAAACAATCGAAACCCGGGTAAGGTGTCTCTGTTACATCTTTTTTGTTAGTGGTATTTTTTAGATATATTTATGAATAACGTCTTTCCAGATTACGCCATTATCTCTAGCTCTTACAGATGATCCTTTTGTAAGCATTGAATGCGACGAAGCAATTGCTACCGTAGTACAGCCTATGTATCCATTTAGACTCGTAGCTTGTGCATCAAAATTGACAGAGTTGTCACCGGAAATGTTCACCCAGTGCCATGCGATTACCGATATACAAGTGAGCAAAGGTTTATGCACAATATTCATCGTGCGTATTCGTAAGATTAATATTGAAATATTTATAGGTGACTGGAGTGAAGAGTCAACTCCACTTAACTAAAATTTGCGACACTTCAATAGTGATGCCTTACTCAGTGGAAGCTTCTTCAAAAATATTGCTGTATCCTCAATATTGGCGAGACATAGACATGATTCAAAAGTCATACTCCTTTCAATCGGATAGTATTACTGTCACGGGGACTAAGGCAAAGTTAATGGCCGCAGCGTCCATTATAACTTCTGTTTTCGATCCTACAAGCACAACGAATCCACTCACCTGTTCTACCCTTTTTAACGATGCCTGTCAAGAGAGATGTATGCGAATACTGAATACTCCATTTTAGCATTTTATAAATTTTTAGTCTTTACTTCTTAAAATACAAAATTTTCTTTGTACATTACAGGTCCAGTATACTTGGAGTTATACCTGGAAAATATAAATTGCAAGAACGTATCATCTTCGGTTACGATATCGAATGAAGTGAATGTAAATTCTATAAAAGTCTTCGCTCTCAGTGATTCTCAACAAGCCTTTATTCTTTCGGGTCCAGAAAATCATGACAGCAGGTCTGCATACATATAATACGTAGTTTAGTTGTAATACAATATTTTTGAAGCTTAAAAGACTTTTACTAATTGGACCTTTGTATTTTTAGTGATGCGGGAAATGTACCGCTGTTGTCTATTGTAGTACAGTTTCCTAAAAACATTGAAACGCAAACACACCCATCGCTTGTTTCATTCAAAATTTCCGAAATCAGAGCTTCCCTGGACCCACTTTTCTTTGAATGGCTGGAATATCAGGCTACTTATCACAAGTCGGGAAGTGTGCATGTATTGCGTTCAGACAGCCAGCAATTAGTTACAGAAGGCACATCGTCCGATACGGGTACGCGGAAAAAATTTGCGAGTCTACACGAAAGTGTGCACAGTTCGTCGGACAAAGAGAAAAAGAGATCAGCTGTGACAGAAAAGTCGAAAACGCTACGAAATGATGAAACGCAAAAGAAAAGTGAATTTAAAACCGAGGGGGAACAACAGGTACTAAAATTATTCGCAAATGTATCGATCGATCACTGTGTTTATTGATGCAAAAATGCGATTTCTTTTAACGCAATGTGGCATATTGCATATATATTAAAGATAGAAATAAATGATCTAGAACTTACAGAAATCGGGACTCTTGGTCAGATTAGCAGAGTCGTATTCGTGGTGGTGCAGTCTTGTGCTGAATGGTTATATAGGACACATTATCATTTATATACCGTCTAATACAATGAGTGGTATTGGAGCTGATGGTAAATATTCTAATTATGTACAGATAAAAAGATAAGCATCAAATTACTTGTAGACTCGTTCATAGTTTCCGATTAGTATTGTTAATGATTCGTACCTTTTCGATAAATACAATGATAGCTTTTAATATATAATAATTAATAAAATATCTTACTAGGCATAGAAGAAGCGAAGGACAGAGCCTTAATAGAAAGTTCAGATCTACAAATAATGATAATAAAGTTACCAAGTCTTCTTATACATTCGTCTAATCTAAACGCTGAGATACTGAGCCCATATCTACAGAGTCTCCCTGCTAAACTACCAGAATCCATGTGGACACATAGTAAGTTTATAATATAGCATTTGCGAGAAATGAAGAGTACAACTTTGTTATTACCGTTTCAGGGATGCAAAGTTTCCCATGGACGTTGAGTCTCATCGATTTTCACTGTTACACGTTACAACAACACACGCAAAAGAACTTTATAAAGAAAGTTACGTTAAATGCTACAGTAGCTCTTACAACTAAGACAGCTGCGACCGAGTCGAATACACTTACCGCTTTAAGCGTTTGTGTGCATATTGATAATTCGCCTATCATTATTTCGCTTTCGGAGGACCAGGTATTAATTAAAACTTTCCCTTATTTTTGTCATGCTATATATTGCAGCGATATAAGTTTCAACGCACGCCTGTGTACCTCAGGTTATTTTTATGAGCAGCATAATTTCAAATGTCATGAAAGTACTACAAACTTTATGCGACTCCCGGAAAGACAATATAATCGTACCACAGATGAGCAACGAAATGCAAGTTGTTCTGCCTGCTATACCTCAAACTCCGTCCACTCCGACTCAAATAATATATCAGGAAGACACCAATTCGACCATGTCTACGTCGAAGGATGATCTGGGACATGGTAAGCCTAATGTATTTATCTCTTATATTTGTTTTTGTCACTAATATGCAAGTTTTGCAGAAAAAGATGGCTTAGTTGTAACGGCCTGGATTCAGTGGACTATAACGAAGGTAGCGATTAAATTATACATTATGGAGCAAGAAGACACGTCTTCTTTGAAATTAATGTTAGAACTGGAAGATATTATAACATCGTTGGATTTGCAATCGGTTTATATGCAATTGAAGAATAAGATAACAACAGCTACGATATTCCATTATATTAGGTAAATTAATTTCTGTTAAATATTCCTTGTACGTGTATATCAAAGTCTTGGCCGAAAATATTCTGAGAAATATTTTTAGTATACGCAACAATTGTTTAATTTGCGTATTTGTGTTGTGATTGGATAGAGGTCCATATGCATCGAATTGGGATGTCGGTGAATATGCCGGTTTGGTACTCTGTGGAAGAGAAGATAGTTTAGAGAAAGGTGATGATTCTGGCTTCCTAAGTTTCACACTTACCCGTGCGAAATCGGGAAATGTGTATACACGTTGGGGTACTCACGCGCGTCACAAGCCTCAGAAGGTACAGTGATTAGCCATTGATTAAATTAACTTAATTATCCAGCCATGCTTAAGTGAATAATATCATTTATCTATTCGCCAAACTGACTCTGTGATATTCGAACATCTAGAAAGAATTGCTGCTTGATTCTACATTGTCTACGAAAGGCTACATCTCTGAAATACTTATCAAAATGCAAATGGTCGATATAATCTTACCAATTAGTGTAATTAGCAAATATACTCAACTGGTGAAACCTTTTACGTGCCTGGGCTCATCTATTGAAAAGAGCGAATCTATCCGTAATAGAAACATGGCAACGCCATTAATTGATATAACCAACTTAAACAATGAATCGTTGCCGTTGATACATTTAGAATTCAAAGGTTTTCGTCTCATGATGCCAACTTCCACTGACACGAGCAAATTGCAACACGATTTATTGATGCTTCAGGTTGTAAACCGTTTTGCGTAATTTTCTTATTGAAGACTTAAATATTTAAACTTACTTTCAGTATTGTATGTTATATAGTTGGACGGAATTCGCATTACGCCGGATGCGGAAAATCCGATTTGTAGGACTCCGTTGCGAACCGACATATACCAGTTGGCTGCTCGAGCAAATATGTTAAATGTACCTGGTTCGGCTGTAGAGGATCGTCAGTATCAAATTAGTGTTAAGGGAGTGTGCGCATATACCACTACTTGGAAGAATTATCAGCTGAGCATTAATAAGGTTTACTATCAAAACTCTGTTGTTTCTTTCTCCAGAGTTCTTAGGGAGATATTTTATTGGTGTTAAAACGTAAAAACAATTCTTGAAACATTAATACAGATTTGATACAAGCGTCATTATTTCCAGAGAATGTCTCAATCGTACTTGTATACAATGAATGAGAATCCAGCGTTGGAATGGAATAAGCTTGGCAATGGTAGCAGCCTAGATCCATACTTTTCAACATCTCCAGTATTAACTAAGTAATAGAATTAATACACGTGCAAAAGCTTATGATAATTATAGTATTGTAATTTTAACACTTAATTCCAGATTTGATCTTTGCTTAATTATTGCACCAGCTGTCACATTTAAAGGAGACACAATAGTCTGTGGAAGTGCCGTTGAAGTGAATTGCATTACAGACATAGAACTGACAATAAATTTAGATCAAATTAAATTAATATCGACGCTCAATAATGAATTTATAACGTTACTGTCTGGAAATTTCGAGAAGATGGATGAGAGACATAGCTCTAATTACACGATTCAGAGATTTCCTTCGGGAGCTCCAAGCATTAAACCTATCAGCTGGTTGAAACAGACGTCAGATGATTCAGATATCGATTTCACAAAAGATAGTGGTGTCGATTTTGAAATGTCCAGCATGCATTCAACGATAATTGTAAGTTATCGGCACATGTAAATAACGTTTTATGATTTAGTTGAGAATTTATATTAAAAGTAATATTTTTCTTTAGGGAAGATCCACGGCTGAAACTATGGTTCTTCCACCATTTGAGTTTTTGGTAAACTGTGGAAAGATAACATTTATCCTGTACGAGGTCCAGAGTACATTCCTCGATTTAGAGGATAACGCAGTGAGTAATAGTTTCGCTGGGATTAATTGATTCGATTGCAATACTGTAACATTATTAAAATTGTGAATACTATTTTTTTAGGATATACACAAAACTGACTGTGAAGAAGATAACGACAATGTAAAGCAGCCATTACTTTACTTGATGATCAATCAACCAAATGTTTATTTCTCTCAGCAACATTTATCTAAGAAGATACAAGTGTGTATTACCATTTACAAAAAACTAAAACATTATTTGATATAAATTTAAATATTTTATACGCTAATATTAAATATTGCGAAATTTACAGATATCCTGTTTCGATGTGACAACAGCGCTTGGTGATGCACAAAATCTGAACGTAATACCGAGCGAGAAGGATTTCAAAATTTATATGATAGAAACGAAGCATGGTGATCCACATCCAGACACGGGTATCCCGCCTTCTTTCGCGACAATAAAGTCTGAAATGATTCTATGCAAGAACCGCCAGTTTTTCATCGAAATGGGACGACCGACGAAAGTACATCTCTCTTTATCTCGGCTCAACCAACTCTATGACATACGAAATAAGGTAAGAATGTATAATATATTCGCGTGCATTTTCCAACAGTTCTACATTGCGTCTGTGTTCTAGGTTTTATCGTGTTTCATCGATGACGACGTTGCGCAAGTACCCGCGGAGAGGGAGACTACGCATACGGATTCTCAAAATTTAGCAGCGCCGACAAGATCGAGGAAGTTCAGTGTTCCTGATTTACATTTAAACACAAGGCAGATTGTATTATCCTTAAAGACTGACACCGGGGCAGAAATTATTACCAGTTTGGCATCGTTAAATGGAAGTCTATCGACACTTCTGAGACCAGACAGGATATACTCGAATATATCGATAGATTCTTTCATTGTGTCCGCCATCTTGAATGGAAATATCAAGGTGCTATTAAATCCGTGGTGTTGCAACGTAACGACTTGTTTACTCTGGGAGTCTTCGTACAGCAGTGAGATCACTCCGCAGATACAAATACAGGCGGACAGTGAAAGTCTGTATCTCAATTTCGGGCCGGATCAGATAAAAATTATGAAAATGGTGATGCGAGATTGCCAGTTACTGTTAAGCGAGCTCGCCTCGCTGTCTACGGGCGAAAATAAAAATGAAAAGCAACTCGCGCTGTCGACCGAACAGCATTACAAGGACGATCTGAAGGCTGGTGCGTTCCAGTTCGTCGACGGCACTGCGGACGAGTTGCCTTTTCCTTATCAAGTTAGTTGAACCATACGAATCACTGGTAAAACTGTAACCAGAGACGTCTCAATCCTATCTCCGTTTGCAGGTGGTGTTCTTTATTTATCCTCAGCAAGCAATGGCTTGGAGATACCCGCAATCGCGCATGTTAACAAGGATACACATATCTCCCGTGCCTTTTGAGGTAAGCGAGAGTGTCCGATCAATGTTAGAAATCAGCTTGAACACGAAAAGACGTATGTTTTATCGACTCTCTCCGTTACAGGCAGCGGATGCCGACGGCAATTATATCGACAAAGTTCCCTGCGTTCTCGAGTATTGGAGCGACAACCACATGTCGTACCAGCGCTATGCCGACTTTTACTTATCGGAAACGGACTCCTACCGACTGGACCTGCCGGAGAAGGCACCGGCGCGGGCGGTGGCCTGCGTGTGGCGCGTAGTCATTCTGTCCAACGGCAAGCGGCCGCTCTCGAAAAGCATCGTTTCCGCACGCGCCCTCGCTGCCTGCCTGCGTATCGACTCCTACTTCAATCCCTTGTTAATACCGAACGTACAGATCGCCTTGAACATCGGCGTCCTCCACGTGTCCCTCTACAATCACATCGACACAAGCGTGTATAACAACTTGCCGCCACCGCTAGACAAATATACCCTGAATGGAAAGATTCCCGAGATACAGTGTTTCATGTCCGTGGAGCAGAAGGGGGCTATTCTGGTTTTCAACAAGTGGATAGACGACTCTATACTGCTGGACATCGGCGGCAGCCTGAGCGTGCACGTGTTGGACTACAGTCATTTGACTATGCAGGAAGTGCTGGATGCCCTGGAGGGGAGATTCCAGCTGTCGTTGTCGGACAAGGTGGACTCGTCGTTAACGTGCAACCCGTTCACGTTGAAACTGGGACCGGCGATAACTCACACCCTCGCAGTCTCCACTCATTTGTGGCTGGCGTCTTTCGACGAGGAGGAGAAGAGCGTGGTCGTCCTGACGCGTTACGTGATAGCCAACGACAGCAATATATCGATACGCTTCGGCCAAAGCGGCACTGGAGATAGCATACTTCTCGAGAGCAGGCAGTGTAACTTTTATTCCTGGCGGCAGATCGGCAATCAGACGATACGGATATCGATCGAGGAGAATGCCTGGGTGTGGAGCCGGCCCTTTCCCGTTAACAAGGACGGGATCCAGGTGATAGAGTTCAACAATTCGATGATCAGCACGGCGGTCTTCGTGAACGTCACGCCGCTCTCCGCCACGCAGAAGCTCGTAACGTTCTCGGGGCAGCTCGTGATCTCCAATCAGTTAACGGATAACTTCGAGATGAGGCTGGTAAAATACGAGGAGGAAGTTGGCTCTAAGGTAACAGTCTCCAAGGAGGTGTATCCTATACCAGGCAAAAGCTTTCCGTCCACTATTATGCTCGAAAACAACAAGAAGATGGCTATACGGTTACGCTTCACCAACTTGACGCATTTGTCCTGGACCGGGGACATTCCGTTGCAGCCCAATATCAAATGGGGCCAGCCGTGGCTGGTCAAAGTGCCTCTTCAAGAGCGCGGGCAGTTTTTGAGTATCTGGGTACGGATTGTGACGCAGACGATACAAGACAAAATGAAGATTCTCGCGGTACTGAGTCCCCTCTACATGATCAAGTCGCACCTACCGGTGCCGGCCAGAGTGCAGATGGAAACGCCGTCTCTCAAGACGTCGTCCAGCACGATGGTGAACGGTCGTGGCGAGTGTCAGCAGCTGTACTGCCCCGGCACGTTCGAGCACTTCCACCAGCTGACGTTTCAACTGGAGTCCGGGGTCTCCGCGTCGAATCCCTACGTGCCGCTCTCGTACAGCTCCGTGGATCAACGGAAATTCTTCCGCAGACCCGAGGTCGAGGACATCGATAAGCTTCTGCACGAGCTCAAGGACAGGAAGGACGAGGTGAAGTGGCCCTTCCAGGGGGACGACACCGAGGAGTGGATATCCGCGGAACAGCCGCAGACGCACGTGCAAGTGAGATACCAGGACGCGGGACTGGTCTCCAGCACGCTGCTGCTGGAACTGCAGCCCTGGTGCTTCGTGATGAACTCGCTGGGCTGCCACGTCTCGCTGGTGTCGGAGGACACGGAGCTCTGTCAGATCCCCCACTACGGCATAGTCACGCCGCCCAAGTTGGAGAGCACCTTTCACGTGGGCGTCGGGATCGGCGACACCTACTACACGTCTCAGACGCTGCAGCTGGCGCGGCCCGACTGGAGCCAGAGCTTCTACATGCCCCGCATCTGCGGCCTCGTGCCGGTGGAGGGGAACATCAAGACGTCCGTGGACTGCGGCGCGAGCGTGTCCATCCTGAACGTCGGCTCGTCCATGCACCAGGACATGCGCCTGGTGCGGATCGCGAGCAGCCACGTGATCGCGAATCTGACGCCCCGTGAACTGTGCGTGGCCACGCTCGCGGTGCACGAGGAAGCGCGGGATCTGCAACTCCCCCACGACCTCACTCCCTGCAGCCTGAATATCTCGCCGTCCGAGGATCAGAGGCAGGGCACGCCGATCGTGCAGTGGTACACCCTGCACACGGAGAGCAACGCCGAGCCGCTCGTGCTGTACGTATCCCTCAGCCTCGGCCACAGGTGGTCCTGTCCGATCAGAGTGGATCAGGCCATGAGTCGCAGGTCCGTCGTGATACCGAACGGTTCCTCCACCGTGCCGGTCATCGTGACGACGCAGGAGGACAAGGGCAGCACGTTCGTCGTGATACACAGCGACGACCATCCGCAGCTGTCGATCGAGAACGCCTGCGGCTTCAAGATCCTGCTGGGGCAGGCCGACGAAAGAGGGAACGAGATATTGCCGGACAGCGCTCACTTCGCATGGATATGCGAGGTCGACAGCGGAGCAACGTCCCACTACTCCCTTCCCTGCGTCAGTAACAGACTACCCGACACCGCGGTCCCAAGCGCGTCGAACGTGCTGCTGTTCTCCACCGTGCAGAACGATCAGGTGGCGGAGAAAGCGAATCTAAGGTGGTCGAGAGGCGTAAATCTGTCCGCGTTGTCGTCCACGCCGATAGATCAGTACCTACGGCTACCCTTGTACGGCGACGTCAAGCTCATAATGCACAATCGCTGCTACACCACTCACATAAGCATCGTGCCCATCTCGCAAATTGAGATCTCCGCTCAAGACATCAGGAGCAGATTGCTGCGAAAGAAGAGCGCTGCGAGAGATCACGACACCGTGTACAATAATCCTCCTCAACTGAGGAGATCGGAGGAGGATAAGCTACTGTCGTACGTGCAAAGTTCGAGCAGCTCGACGTCGCTGACGAGCTTCTTCTCGGCCCAGGAGGATATCCTGGCGGCGGAACAGACGCTCGGCTCGAGCGCGAAGCAATTGATTCCGAAGATGGCGGACACAAAAACTTGCACCGACGAGGATCGTTTCAAGTCCCCCGGCGATTCGACTAATTCGAGGGAGGGCTCCGTCATTGTTTACCTCCGTGCGTGTACCATTGTCATCCTTCACGACGTCAATGAAAACGCACAAAGAATCGAAGTCGCGAGCCTGTCCATGACAGATTTGGTCGTCACCGTAAATTCTAAGGCCAGATTTATCAACCTCTATTGCTACATAGGCGACTTGCAGTTGGACAATCAATTGTTCGATCAAGGAGGCTTCGACTTCCCCGTGGTGTTGATAAATCAGAATCCGTTGCCCAACAGGGAGATAGCGTTTTATAGCAATAACTGTTTGACGACGAATATGGAGAGGATCAAGCAAGATTCTTTGATAGCCATCGAATACATCTGGGAAATAAACGGGAATATGATAGGTGTGTACTTAATATTTATGAAATTATATCTCGATAAAAGAAGAATATATAAATAACGAATATTTTCCTTTAGCAGATAAATATTATTTATTTCACGAGTGACGGTACATGTATTTCCTTCTGTTGCAGCGTCAAAGGAATATCGCATGAAAATCGCGCCCATTAGCGCGTATATCGAGGACACGTATATAACGCAACTATTGGATTACGCGACTTCGATGATACCGTCGCGATTGGTGCTGGGTGACGGTCTTAAGAAGATGCAAACGATAGCTGCCTCGAACGCAATGTACATACCGGACTACATCATGATCGATTCGAAAATCTTAAGCAAACCGCTGAGACTGCAGAACTTTGTGATAGAACCGCTGTCGATCTTGTTAAGTGTTCACACTTCTATGCGACTCTACGTCGCGTTGGATCACTCCCCGCTGTATTTCGGCACCTTCGAGAGGAAGAACCTGCTGACCACTCCTTACAGACTTGGCAATGCACTCACGATGCACTATTTATCCGGCGCCATATTCGGAGCAGGTCGGTATGCATTCGTATAGAAACGCTCAAGTATTTTATATTACTAATTGGATATAATGACGGAATAACCAACCGATATTACATCCGTTTGTCAGGCTGGGTAGTCGGATCACTGGAGATACTTGGGTCGCCAGGAGGTTTGGCGCAGGCGCTTGGATCTGGCCTGAGAGATTTTGTCTCAATGCCATTCCAAGGACTGCTGCAGGGTCCGTGGGGTTTTATCGTTGGAATTACACACGGGTCAGCCAGTCTGATGAAGCACGTCACCGCAGGTGCAGTAACTGTTAATGTTTATCTCATTGCTCCAAACACTTGGAGAAGGATGAATAATTAATATCTCGACTCGCGTACGCAGGTACCGTAAATTCCGTAACGAAGCTGGCGTCCAGCGTCGCGCGGAACTTGGATCGTTTAACGTTGGACGAGGAACACCTTCAGCGGCAAGAGGAGTCGCGCAGAATGCGCCCTCAAGGCATGGCGCAGGGACTCTACCAAGGCTTAACTGGTCTTGGAATGAGTCTGCTTGGTAATTTTCTAAAAGTATTATTTCAAATAGAACGTGTGCGATGTTGTGCCATACAGAGTGCAATAGCTGATTGTTAATTAGCGGCCGTGGCGGGCTTGGCGCATCATCCGTTGCAGCAAGTGTGGTCGGGTGAGGCGACGACCAAAAGTCTAGTCACCGGAGTCGGTCTCGGTTTAGTCGGCGTCGTCACCAAGCCGTTGAGCGGTGCCGCTGAGCTGGTTGCTCTCACGGGTCAAGGTTTGTTGCAAGGAGCCGGATGGAACTCGCTGCCTACGGTAAATTCAAGCAACAGGCGTCTCTCAGGCATCTTACAGTCTGACGTTTCATTGCCATGACAATTGTTACGCATCTTTACAGCCACGTCAAAGGCCAATCGTTCAGTACACCACTGGCAATAACAGCACATCCGTGCGGTACACCTGGCGCCTGTCGCCTCTACTGGATCACAGTCACGACAGCATCCTTCATGTGACCAGCGCGGACTACGTGATTCATCAGGGCAGCAATCGCGCGGTGACGCTCGTTCTCACGCGGCAGGCTTTATTACTCGTCAACATGGCAGAGGACAGCGTAGAACGAATATTTTCGCTGAAGGAACTGACGAGCGTCGATCACATCACGGATTCAACAATGCTATGTCTCTACTGTCCACCGACCGCTATTCAATTGAGCAGGCCACTATCACCGGCTGAGCACGAGGTAAAATTCACAAATGTTAGATACAAAATCGTGCAAATCTAATGTAAACGTAATTTTATTTAAAAGAAGGCAGGGCTACTTGAGAACCAAGCGCAGAAATCAACACTTCGTTGTAGTTGTCGATAATTGTATTTAATCATGAACGTTTCGATCCTTATTTAGGATAATCTTCAGCAACTAAAAGTGTATAGTCGTATAAGAAATGTAAAGAGGAATAGACACATGATCGGATAAACTTGTGACAATTGTGTTAACGTACATGTATACAATTTAACGTCTACTCGCTGTAACACTCGGACCTAGGAGAGCTCTATCCTGTGTGAAATGAAGGAACAATGCCCACTAATGGTAACAAACATTGTGCGCTTTCGAACTACTGAAATTATAATATCGGATGAACGTTGAGACGTTACTCAATTCATTACTTGACGAGCTCACCAAGTCCGGCGACGTGTCAGCGAATATTGACGCACACAAAGGAAAGTCCCGAACTAAAATATTTAGAAAAAGCCCGAAAGGGGAATTACCGGTCACCAACTCAGTGTTAATGTCATGAACGTAAAGCACACTCGGTCTACGACGCGGCAATCGACCAGGAAATTCAAATCTTTGCAAGATTCCCCGTAAACTCATGAGAAACGTGATGTAAACTGTCGGTATCGCTCTGGAGATTGAGGCTACTGATGTCTTTTTATAAAAATCATTTCGGACACGAGTAGTTTACTGTAGCTATGTTCTTCATCTAAGACCTTCACTTTGTCCCATGCAAATTCGTGATTTAACGATAATCTATGGTCAGTGATGAATGTTGTTTGGCGTTTCTATTTATGTGGTTGCGGTGTTCTGCTATTCTGGCTTTTAGAAACCTACTGGTAATTTTATTTCCTTTCTTCAAGATGAACCAAGAAATGAGGGCGCGAGTTGAGGAATACGTGCGGACGAGCAGTACTGGTTTGGCCAGTGTGTCGACCAATAGCGACAGACAGTCCGACATCTTCGAGAGAGCGTCCCCGCATCCCGAGCATACGCTTACGTTTTACGTCTGCCCGGACACTCGCAATTATTTATTATCACTGTTCAACATTGCCAAGCGACAAAATCAATGCTCTGGTTTCGCCGTTTTGTAATCAAATTTCCAGACGATTGTAATAATGTGTGATAACTGAGAAAATATTCCAAATATTACGTACGTCAGTGTTCAAAAGCGCATTCAAATTCGATATGCCTTTTAAATATTGAAGATGATGATACATTTACATGCTTTTTGGAACGACATTCTAAAGCTACGTGCAAACAGTATTATAATTAAAAAGATGAATAGAAGAAAGTAATTTCACAAATTCTCGAGTCAACATAAGACTCGGAGTTTCCAAAATGTTTATAATCGAATGCCTGTCTCTACTTTTACTCAAATACATTGCACAAAATTGTCGCTTCTGTTTTATGTATAAAGTATACATTATGAGTTTAGAATGTATAAATTTATTATAAAATCTAGTGTACAGTAAGCTGAGAAAGGTATATGAATTCTGTAAAGTATTTATAATAACGTTGCTTACTTTAAAAAATCGTGCAAAAACGTACAAATTAAAAAACAATACATAAACTTAATTTCTAAGTTATCACGTCCCACATATTTATATATGTAAGAGATAAAAAATAAACTTTTATATGTATTATTTACACACACAATTGCAACACAACTTTACATGAATATAAGTTATGTTGTATGTGCCAAAATGTATCGCGAGCAATTCTACTATCACTGGAAAACTATCGTGTAATATTGATCTAACGATTTCAGTGTGTTACAATAATATATTTTGCATACTGTGGACAAAATCTGGCAGGTAATAAATGCTAAAAGATTTAATCATATTGATTCGCATTGCGCTCTTATCTGTTATCTGTTTAGAATAGCGTCGTGAATCCGTTCAATCTCGCTCGTTTTATAAGAAAATCCACAAGATTTGCACTGGCTATTTTCAATGGACAATAATACTTTTCTGCATACTACGTGTTTACAGGGAAGCTTGTAAAAGATACTATTTTTACAGCAATCACATTTGTTAGATAGCGTATGTAATTCTACTTTTCCCGGTGTGCCAAAGTGTTTCGTGTTGGACAGCAGAGTGTTTAAATTGCTATCTACGAAACTGTCGTTAGCCGGTACATCTAATTCATCGTCCCCGTTCTGAGAATTGTTACGAGCTAACTTGGAGGAAGTTGGAATCTTCGTGGGCTGTTTCAATCTTGCTGCAGCATTGGCTGTGGGTGGTTTAGGCATAATCGCTATCGGCAATTTATGGCAATATCTCTTTGCACACTGAGAGTTGCTGTCTGTTGTCTGCTTACGTGCACTCGGCTTAACATCTTCAGCGGTCCTTTTCAACGAATTATTCAACACACACTTCGGTACTTCGATTATCCCTCTGTCTCCGGCCGCAGCCGAGGCCGGATCGCGGCCTAGGACCCTCGGCATTTGCTTTATCTCGCTCCGATCGCTGTTCTCCAGGAGGAATTTGTCGATCCTCGACTTGAGCGCGGCCGCCATGACTGGTCTACGGTCGTCGTTAAACCGCAAGCCCGTGAACGGATCCGACAACGGCCTACCCCAGGTTGCCTCATTCTCCCCGTGTTTCTCCAGTGTCGTCTGATCTATTACTTTACCGCTGGGTAGCACAACCGGCTGAGTCATTAGTTCCCACGTAATGGCATCTAGGAAGCTCTCGGGAACTTCAAGGGTCGCGGTGCTCTTCAGTCTGCGTACGTACAAAAAAAGTATATTAACCAGCAATCAATGTTACACAGAATCTAATTTATAATCGTACATACATCTGCAATTATAAGGTCCGTTCTTTATAGCGGAACTAGCTGCACTGATTCAGAGTTTATCCTACTGTGGAGGGAGAAAGATAAACTCTGAACTGGCGCAGTCAGTTCAGCTATGAAGACCAGACTTATGACTACATGTACCTATTATTCTCGGCATCTACGGAACTAGCGTCAGCTTTCAATTCCACTACAGGCGATGCCGGCGGAGCTTGACCGCCGGCCCACAAGGTGTACACGCTTGCTACAACATCTTTCCCACAGCGCGGAGATACCGTGCCCCACACTTGGACCTTCCCCAGCGCCGGCACTGACTTCTCCGTCTTGCATATTGTTATGCGCAACACATGAGTGTACTTGGACAGATAGCCCACAGAAGCCTTGACGCAGCACCTTAAGAAATTGGCTGGCGCGGGGATCCCCGTGGGGTCGACGTCCACCGGGTGGAACAACAATCCGGCGTCGTGGGGACGCAGGAAGCCGCTGGACAGCAAAGTGTAGGGGGTCTGTTCGTCGTCGGTGTTCCTGGAGTACAGCCGGAAGCCCGACGACTTCTGCGGCCCGACGGCCGGCCAGATCAGCACGTGACTGAGCCACACGTTGCAGAGGAAGGTGATGTCTATGTCGATCGGCGGCTTGATGCAGGAGTAGGCCAGGTAGCCCTTGTCGGAGCCGCTGATCAGATTGCTCACCTCGTATCCGTCTGTGCTAACGGCGCTGCATCGGATCTCCGGGCGTAAGCGGGGGTCGCAGAAGTTCAAGAGCATCTTTCGTCTATTTGTAGACCGCCAATGGCAGCCGCGGTCTTAGAAAACGCGCGTATAATTAATAATTAGGAAAAGTCACGAGCAGCAGCCAGTACACTCGTCGCGGACCTAACCTGACGTACTCGCGATTTAAAGGGAACCTGTCTATCCACTCATTGATGTCGGACTGGTCGCGTTGCTCGCGCATGCGCGGCGGATTGACGCAGCACAGAAAGATTGCGGGAAGACTGCAGAAATGTTACATTGCAAGATTGCAATATTGCAGCAACGTTGCACAAATTAATAAAATAATAAATAAAAAAATAAATAGAACATTTTTTAAATAGAAAATATAGTATTTTCATTATTTTTGAAACATTGCTGCAATATTGCTACCGAAAGTTTGCAATTTTATATGCAATGTCTCTGCATGCAAGATTGCAACGTTTCTACGATGTAACTGCAACCATCTGTGCTGTATGCCCTAGTAGCACAGTGCATTGGCCAAACATTGGTTAAACATTGGCCCAATACAACCAAATATTGGGCCAATGTTTATCCAATGCACTGTGCTACTAGGGTGGGTAGTTATCGAAAAAATGTAACTGAGTTAAGTTAGAGTTACAGATGGAGAGAAAGTAACGGAGTTAAGCTAGAGTTGCCAAAAAAGTAACTGCAACTGTAACTTTGTTACGAGTAACGAGTTACTTCCCAACCCTTTACTACTAGCAGGTGTTGTGCATAGATTTTAAAATTAGCTAGATAAAGATAAGATAAAAATATATAAATTTATCTTAGATAAGATAAAGATGATTTCGTTTTGAATATATCTAGATAAAAGATAAAAGTATATGATGATTCATCTAGATAATTTTCAGATAATATCTTTAAGACTTCATGTAAACGTAGTAGAAAAAGTTATAAAAAATTATAGAAAAATATAAATTATTAAGGGGGATATAGAATATATTCAGGTTAAATTATATGACACACACATAAATGCATGGTCTACAACGCCATCCATATTTAAATAGTGTAACTGTTCAGTATTTTTATGTGGCCCTAAACCAAATTATCTGTACGTTATCTTAGATAATTTAGTAAAGATAACACTTTCTTTCATCTAAGATGCAGATATAGATAATACTTATTTTTATTATCTATATAAAGATAAGATAACGCTAAAATTTTATCTAGATAATCATCTATATAATTTTATTTAGATAACAGCAAACACTGACTACTAGGGTGTAGTTCTGCAATATATTTTGTAATTTTTCTTTATATCTTCAATATAAAGTTTGCAAAATGTGCAAATTAAGAAGAGACTAAAAGAAATGCATTAGAGAAGAGCATTACCTTCAATTAAAAATACTATACATTCAGCTTCGCGACAATTATGTAACAAAGAAGTTTATGTGCGATTAAGGAAACGTAGAATTTTTTTTACAGAGACGTGTAATTAAAACTATTTAAAGGGGTGTCTGGTGGAGTATTTTTAACCAGTTGCATATTGTAAAGAAATCTATTTATTCATGAATGATGGACATCCTGTGCCTCGAATGAGATTATTCGTACAAATAACACAGTCGTATCTGCTAGATATTTATCACGCCCGTACGCAAAAAGAGCGCGTGACATTGTGTATAAATATATGTTACATATCGTGAAAAGACTATTATCACCCCTCAAGGTAGATGAGCGTAGAACGACGATTCGCATTCGCGCGCACTGATTGAACCGAAACGCAGAAGTCGTGGTCGGTTCGATCGATTAGGGAAGTGCGAAATTAATCGTGGATTGTCGGCCGATCCTTTTCGAACTACGTTCTCTGCGTCTTCGTCTCGCGTTCTTTGTTATACCTTAAGATACCGCTGAACTAAATTCTCCCTTACAATTACGGGATATAAGTCGTATTTAGTAGCTAATATTACTTATCCTCGTTATATCGATAGCTATAAAAACCTATGTGTTCCTTCCTTGGACTTGTATACGCCGTTCCGATCGTGGACGCGAAGTAGCGTGCGTAATTGCAGAACACGATCTACAAGCCGCAGGCTAATTACAATTAAAGCGATAAAAAAGTTGAACGTATGAAATACACTAAATAATTGTGGAAGAGGGAACCCTAAACTGAAATCAAAACGTAGATATGTATGCCGTGAAGCGTTTATCTATTTTACATTCCTGGACCACTCAAGTTTCAAGCACCACGTTTTGTAAACGTTTCGAACGAGAGGTGACTATAAGTTTCGATTTTTCACGTTTCCCAATATTTTCGCCGATTATCGCGAATTTAACAACATTAAAATAGATTAATAATGTCTATCTTAATTTTTTCAGGCAACTAAATATTTTTCCATCTGACACTTTGTACTTTATGAAAAGAGAAAGCTATAAAAATGCTGCAGGAATTAAACGAAGTGATACAATACGGAAATTATTAATATGAAAAGTTAAAAAAAAAAGAAAGAGAAAAATCTGTTCTACCGCTTCCAAATACAAACGAGTCTGTGCAATTGCAGTTCTAATCTAGAACAGTCTCAATAGCATTAGAATACAAAAGATTCATCTGTCGTGAGATCGAGAAGTCCTGTTCCAATTCGTTCTCAATTAAATTGAAATAAGTCGAACTCTTTCTTTCCACTAATACAAAGGAAAATATCACAGATAAATATATATATCCCGCTATGTGATTAACAATCATTACGTAGGAGTGCGTTTGTTTGTGGAAATGAAGCGTTTGGTAATCGGTACCGAATGTACAGTGTAATAGAATTTTATTTCTCGCTGTTCAATAAAAAAAAGTGTTTCTCATGGGCGACAATTAAGAGCAGGTGCATGCACGAATAAGTGGAAATAAAAAACGCTGTTAATTAAAATTAAAAATATTATTCGCCATAAGAATGAGAAGGACATGCGAAATGGAAATGGATACAGCAGGCAACGTATCAGAAAGTGGACGCGGATGAGCATACGGTAAACACCAGAAGTACCAATGCAGTTAAAATTACTAGTTTGTGTAATCTTTGTTTCAAAATGACGACATATTTTTGGAGAATTTGTATAATTTCTGTTGCAATGCATGGTAAACGATTGAATCGATCCAATTTTTCCTCCCTTTTTTTTAAAAGATATTCATACAGCCAACGGCTCTAATGTTAAATGAGTTTAAAAAAGATAAATAAGTCTCGTAAATGCGTGATAAACGCAAGAGAAATATTTACTCGTCAATTCTTTTTCTATCGAGAATCCATTTCAACGACGTAACATTTAATGTCTTTAATAGCCGCGATTTTACTACACAAGTATAACTTTTTGACGTACCTAAAAGATCCACAAAATTCGCCCTTGGTTTCACGTGATAAAAAGATAAATAATTTAAACATGGCACAGCACAGGCATATTGAGATTTCTGTTCGAATATGATTTCCGGAAAGGTTCAAGTGCGCCAGAGTCTCTAAAAAAAGTAAAAGCCTAGCCGCATTATGCATTAACTACGCGACATCTTTCGCACGTAACGACGTCCGGTTATCCGTCTCGTACGTTTTCACGTTCGCGATGCCATTCAAGCGACATCGGAGGGGAAAGAGCAAACGAAAAGTAATCAAAGTAATGGCATTACATGTATTAAATGTGACTGATTATATTCCGCCTTGTCTCATATTGCTTCGATAACGTCGAGAAAAGAATTGCTCCGCGAAGAAACGCGCGTCTCTTTCTCGTTTCCCTCCTTCGCTCCCTCGCCCGCAAACGCGCGGAAATCGCGCGCGAATCCTTTGGTTTCTCAACTGTCAGTATGACCTTATTAATCCTACTCTCCTGCGTTACCAATTTCAGTATAAAATATATACACTTACGGCCTAAATATATATATGTATATATGTACACGAGCTACGAAGAGGACAACATTGACATCGAAATTGACGTAGCGTACAAGTGGGACGTTATTCTCGCCCGCGCCGGGGCTCTATTCCGTACACGGTTACCGACAACTGTCGATACCGTTAACGACGTTCGCGCAGCTTTTCTATCGTGTAAAAAGGCTGCGTTAAGGGAATCCTTCAGCCGTCCTTTTTACCGACACAGTCAAATATAATTTTTGCGCTTGTAATTCTTTTTATTAGCTTCTATGCACAAAATAATACCAGGACAAGTTGCGGACCGCATAGCGGAACGTTTTCATACTTAAAACATTCAGTTCAGAAGTCTAATTAAAAAGATATTGGTATAAAAATTGAGGAACCCGACCTCAATCATTTATAAAGCGATAGTTTTAATTTCTCTTCGTTTCTTTTTATATAAAGTTGACTGTCCCTGGGTTTGCACACTGTGCGCACTGTACGCCCCATTACGAGATCTCTTCTCCGCTCGTTCTCGCGCTTGCACTTATACAATACCTGTCTCGCCCTTTGTTTTACGAGGGCGGCTCTAACTTGACCAAGTCCTTTGACTACCGTGAGCGAGTCGGTCGAAAAGTACACGGACGATTATATGAGCGGTTTTGTCTTTATGCGTACTTTAATCGTGTGGAAGAATTTTGCAATTTTATAAAGCCAATTTCAAATTTAGTTAAAACTACGAATTGAAAATGTCAAATACCAATATCTTTTTTATTTGACTTCTGAACTGAGCGTTTTATGTATGAAAATGTTCTGCTATGCGGTCCGCAACTCATCTTGGTATTAATTTGTTCGTAAAAGCTAATAAAAAGAATTACTAGCGCAAAAACTATATTTGACGTTGTCGGTGGCCGTGCACGGAATCGCGCGTCTGGAGCGGACACGTCGCGTCTCGCCTCCGGAGATGCTTTCTTCTCTTCCACGTATCTCCTCTCCTCAACGTAATTTCCATTGTAGATCGGGCAGTAGCGCGACTTGTTGCGAATGCGTGTATCAGCGACGAAAACGCCTATCGTGGCCTCCACGTGGAAGATTACGAGGCGGACTCGAGTGAAGTTGGGGGAAAAAGAAATGTTCGCCTTGCCGTTTCCTTTGGAATTTTCAGATAGAAATTATCTTCCGGTTTTTAATTCACCCGTGCACACTGTACGCCCCATTGCGAGATCTCTTCTCCGCTCGTTCTCCGTCTCGCGCTTGCACTTACACAATACCTGTCTCGCCCTTTGTTTTACGAGGGCGGCTCCAACTTGACCAAGTCCTTTGACTACCGTGAGCGAGTCGGTCGAAAAGTACAAGGATGATTATATGAGCGGTCGGAGCTAACGAGTATCAAATTATTAACGGTAATACCTTAACACCGATTATAGCTTAATGATTACATGTTACGACTATTGTTAATATTGTTAATATTAGTATCACTATTACGCTAATCCGATCGTCACCGGCCGGGTAGGATTAGATTTTCTTCGTGAGTGTGAATGTGTGTGTGTGTTGCGCGCGCGCGCGCGCAAGAATCAATTTGATAAAATACTCCCTGAAAAGTATGCGAAGAAATCTAAATTACTTTCTTCGTCTCTCTCTACCCCCCTTTTTCTTCTACCTCTCTTTCGACCCACCGCATTACTAGTGCGCGGTCGGTACACAATAAAATTAGATCAGACTCAAAAACGCTCCGCTCGATACACTTTACACGGCACGTCAATGAGTGATTTCGTGTATTACAATAGTGTAACAATTGTAAAGATATAGTGAAACAAATTTCAGGTAATAACATTCCCAGCCGTCCCAGCCGAAACGCGGATGTCTTTCGTGGGCGAGAAAATAGGAAGCTTTGCCTTATCTAGGTCCCTAAAAACTAGGTACATTGCATCCCTTACAAACATAATCGTCTCTTTCTTTCTCTCCCCCCCCCCCTCTCTCTCTCTCTCTCTCGTTCGCTATCTACACGATAGATCTCGTCGCTGCCGCGGTGACAAAATGATAATAGCGTCATCGCAGCAGGAGCTCTCTATCATTTAGTCGATATGTTGATGCCGCTGCCGCGATATTTTAGCGTTGATCAGTTCCCTCTTTTCGCGAAAACAAGTGAAATCGTAGCGATCTAATAGCGTGCGACTGCAAGTCGTCATTGCAAGCGGCGCGACAAGTTCTTTGAAACAAAGGAAAAGAAAAGAGACGGAAACATTTTGCTAAAAATATAATGGAATTTTGCTGAAAATCCCCTCTCGACCGTTTCGTTATCTCCGTGAAAATTCGGCGAGAGATTATTTTAAGAATTTGTCTTAGTCAAGTTCAGCAAGAGTTTCGTAATGTCTAATACTTCAACTTTTTTTTAAATTGCTTTTCAATGTGTACTTTAACTTTCCTGATATTTCATATTGCATTGAATTTCATAAGGGAGATTCACATTTACGCAACACCTTCGGTAATCATTCGGTAACCTTCGTCTCACTGCTCGTCGATTTCAATACTTTCAGCAAAATATTCCAAGGTAGCGACCTCGTTTATTGCGAATCGCACGGATGGAACGAAGAGAGAACATGTCGCCGCACTTTCCTCATAAAAGAGTACAAATTTGCACAAACTTACGGCGCGGTATACCTGTGTCGTGTGTCTCTTAAACGGCTACGTACCAGTCTTGGACGTCTTCGCGTAAACAGAGTAATCGCGGCTTAGAATATCTAGACTATCACTTTACAGTAGTAATTAAGCTATCGCTCGGACAGCATGGGTGCCCGAGAGACGTTTGAAAGGTGTCCAAAGGACGTCGCGACGGACGAAGATGTCCTCTAAACAACTTTACAATGACTTTCAGACTACGGGTCCAGGTGTACGAAATATAATCCATGTCTCTGTCTCTCTTTATGTTAATTTAGCCGCGCTACTTATGAGATGACAGTTTCAGCGTTCTACATGTAGACAGTGTAAGTACGCCACTTACACTTACTGGCCACTGTGCGATTATTGACCGTTAGCGTTCGCGAGTTTCTACTTAGCAGAAAGTCTTCGTTTACTTTCTTCGCGGCGTATATTTCTTCCCGAACGAAGCGCCACGAATGTTCTCACGCGACAGAAGTGGCCCGTCAGCTTCGGGCTTCCGCTTGCCTTCAACGTAAAGCCCGATCTCGTCAATTCACGAGTGTCGCTCGCAAAAATCGTGATAAGCAAAATTGTGACGCCCGATCGAGCGTGACGATTGCTGACGAGACTCGTAGCCAAAATGTCCCTCCAGTGGCTAATGCATCTCGAAGTCTAAGCTCGCATATTCTGAACCCTCTTTTATCGATAAAAGCGCCTCTAAAAGTGGCTGATAAACCTTCTGATGACAAGCCAGCAAGAAATGACTGGTCGATCGATATCGAAACAATGTCGATTCGACGAATCATTTCTCACTGGGACTTTTAGGACCAGTTTCACAAACGTCGTTTAACCGCTAACCCATGATTAATTGACCCTCTGTCTCTTCTTGGATAACAAGATACAGAAAGATAGGAAGTCGACTGAACTGTGGTTAACAGTTAACCGACGTTTGTGAAACTGGACCTCAGAAGAGTGCTTTTATCGATAAAAGAAGATTCAGAATACGGGCCCAAGTGTATCCGTAAATGCCCGACACTGTTATACCGTTGCATTAATACAAATGTTATATTAAAATAGCGGAGTATCGATCAATCCTTCGAAAACGTATAATTTTGCGGCACGAGACAGCAGTCTGGCTACTTGCCACTGATCTGAAACGCCAGCCTGTCCGACAGACAGTAATAACAGACAGGCTGAAATGAGAAAGATGATCGGTTTCGACTGATTCGCTGCGTTTGCACGGCACCGCTGATCAGCTGCGCTACTAACTAAACTAGCTATTGCTCGTTTCTTCAGTCTAACACGCATCGACGACAGGACGACTACGTTACGCAACCACGCGCCCCGTTTCTCTCGCTTCAAGCGTTTTCGAGGCCCAAGTTACTCGGGACTTTCTCTCCCACGCACATCTCACTTTTGAAATATATATATATATATATATCGTACAAGTAATAATCACGTGCGGTGGATCGCGGATGATTGTCGCAATAATCGCTGGTCCGTGGAGGAGGCGCACGAGAGTATCATATCCGAAACGACAATCATACCGTGATCGGTGTCTAAATACGCAACCGCGTTCTCCAACAACGAAGCTGTAACTTTGCATCGGCAGGGGCATAGTACTCGCGACGATCGCACGTTGCATTCGCGAAAGTACCCCAGTGAGAAGTGATTCGACGAAACGATCTCGAATCGATACTGTCAAATTCGACATCGATTTGGCGGTGTCGATGTTGATTTAGCATCGTTTTACGATTGACGAGTCACCCCGATAAGAGAATATTTAAAAAATAACGTGACAAAATCTCGACGAAACTTGGAATGCTGGAATTATGCGCACACGTTTCGAACAACGTGTGCAGAAATAGAGACTGTGCATCAAATATTGATAAATATCTGCACAATGTATTTCTAAATAGTGTGTCAGCAAAACATCAGCTGCGTTTTTGCAAATCACCTTGGCAGAATATTTGCACAATTAAATTGCTGTCGTGTTAAAACGAGCTGCCGCTACGAGGCGTCTCATACTTGTGAGTAAAATTCACGCGAGACGAGATAACAGCAGACACGTCTCACGCTAAATCTTCTTAAACATTTATTACACGTAACTGTGTTGCTGGCAATTTTGCTTCTAAATGTCGAAATAACTGTGCATGATTTATCCCCAAAATTGAGATTATCATTTTTTGGGCAAATGCCATTTAGAAATTTTATCCCTGCATAACCGCTGCGTTTTGGCGAAACACCTTAATGCAATTATCGCGAAGGTTCTTCCTTTTGGATGATGCAATGATTATACAATGTTTGAGACATTTTCCTATCGGAGCATTTCTCGCTGGGACGCGACATACAGTCAGGGACAACGATGAGTGGACACTCGAGCCTATCATTGATTTTCCTCACTTAGCCAACGCTCCTTGCTTTACAGAGGTGGAAAGACATTAAACGTACGCATATACGAGCATTTATCGTGTACAACGTGATTTCGTTAACTCTAAGCAATCCTATGTAGCTACTACTCTCCCTTCAACTAGTCTCCCTTTATCCATTATTCCTCGAGACCTTTATCTAACATCTTGATATGACTTTATACTTTTCACATGGAAGTACTCTTAAAATTCTATGACTAAAATAGAATAGGAATAGTTGACGACTTTAATCGCTTTATATATGTATATATATATTTTTTCTTCGATATACGACAAAAATAATACACTCTCTACTCAGTTTCACTTTCCTATTTCTTACAGATTGCCGTTTCTCTGAGATGTTTGTACATACGTGAAACGATTGTTTATGGATATGTTTATTCGCACCAATCGTTTTGATAAGGAAACATACGAATTAAACGAAAGTGAGTCGATCTTCACTCGCATCAGCATCCACACAATTTTGTCTCTGAGTGTATACACACCCCCGGGAATATCAACGCGCGCGTAGAGAAAGTACAAAGTTCTCACCCTCGAAGCGCACGATTCTCGTTTTATTTGCGGAAGATAAGAGTTATGTGAGCGGCATCGCAAAAATCCGCAGGTCCACGTACGAAAAAATTCGCGGACGCTCGCGATGACCCGACGATCGGCGGCGTCGGAGCTTTAAAAATGCACGGCGTGGAGAGTGGCTCCGTTAGAAAAAAGAGAAATCACATACGAGATAGGGAGTAGGACTCAAGACTCGACCTCGACCAGGTTAAAATCGAATGCATCCCCTAAGCTAGCCCTAAACCGGCTTTCGTCGCGTGATCATTGGTATTGCGTGTGTACGTGTACGTGTGTGTATGTACCTCACATTTTATACACGCTGAATAGAAATAAAAATATCATAATGTATATTATAATATTTTTATTCACATATTATCTATATACAGGGTGAGTTGTAAAGGCTGTCCCAACCTTTCGCAATAAGAGGTGAATTACCGACCGCAACTGTAGCCAGCTCGAGAAGGAATGGATAAAATCTCGTTCTACATGGCTCAATCATGTAATATCCAATTATTACTCGAGCTGGCTACAGTTGCGGTCGGTAAATTCACCTCTTATTGTGAAAGGTTGGGGCAGCCTTTACGACTCACCCTGTATGTGTGTGTTTAAATTTGTGTGTTTTCTTTTTCGTGCGTTTACGCGTAGTCTCTTTGGTGTCTTGCAGTCCGCTTAAGTATAAATCTGTAGCAGTATCAAAATAGTAAAAATAGTGCATATGAAGACCATGAGCACAGGTAGAACCAGGATGAATCTAACGGAGCGGCTGAGGCCGCTTGGCTCCTGTCATACGGCCTGCTCGCCGGACTCGGTCGAGGCGTCGAAGAGCGGCCGATCCGCCGGCGTCTCGCCCGACGTCGTCGACTTTGCGCCGCCGTTCCCGGTGTTACCCTCCCGCCTGGTTTTGCTCGAGCCCGAGAAGCACAGGCAGCCGGACTGATTGCGATTCCGCTTCAGCGTCGGCTTGTTCTCGCGCACCTGTTCCGCCAAACACTTCTGATAGTAATCGTAGTCCTTCAAGTACCTGTCATAGAACAAATTGCGACGGTGTCAGAATTGGAAACTAGGCAAACAGCGATGTCGACTTGTCGATTACGTCGATTCAATTGACTCCGAACGTTAAACAGAGATCATTTACCTACATAGAAATGGTAGCAACGACGTTAATAGCGTGACGTGTATCGTAAAAAAAAAAGTTACAAGGGAAAGAGAGTTTCTTTCCTTCAAAGTCAAACAGTAGAAAGAATTACGCGGCCGTCGTGATGTACGTACCAGACCGGCGGCCATCGATGCTCGTTCAAGTATTCCTGGTTCTCCGGATGGAGCAGCCGCACGCTGCGGGGCGACATTTTGCACAGCTTGTTATAGTTAACGCAGAGATGGTTCATGCACCAGTCTGCCAGCTGATCCGCATTATGCAGCTGGAAATCGTAACTGAGCGTTAAACGCGTCTTAATCGCGGCCTAATCGATGCGAAACGCGCGAGTGAGACCGACCTTGCACGGCTCCAACAACCTCAGGCAGTTTTCCACGGCGTCGTTCCCCTCGTTTTGCGAAAGCCGCTCAAGATCCTCGATCACTCTGCTCTCGACCAAGTTCACCAGTCGTTGAAGGCAGAGCCTGTTGGCTAGTTCCAATAGGTTCAGGCACCTGACCGAGGAGATCGCCGGCACCTCGTCCGTGTAAAGGTAGCAGAGTAACTTGTGGAATGTGTACTCCCGAACCCCAGGAAAGACTATCTGCCATTGCGATCGGGAGATACGATTCGTATTAATTTAACTTCTCGTCACCGACTGTTACGTTTCGTTCATTCGAGTTATTCGAGATTACGCTGGTGAGAAAATTGTCTCTGAAGCTCTTCATGTGATTTCAAATTGAAACACTTTTCGGAAAATGTTGAGAAAATATTTATCTTTGCTAGAATTCTTTCTTAAGGCTGTGTTCACGATGCTAGAACTCGAACCATCGTGGACACAGGCCCTTTATACGTGTAACTTTCGAAATATTCTCAGATTTTTCTTCTACGGTGTTCGAAGAGAACTTGCAATTAGAAATTTTCATAAATTGACAATATGAAAAGTTCCGGGCAATATTACGAAATTGTAAGAATTCTTTATGTCTAGGGTTGCAATCGGTTGTGACAGTTGAAGCTCATTGTATTTCACAGAGTGCACTTACGACTTTTGCGCTGCTTTCGCGAAAATCGCCAGAGAACATGGCTTTCATCACGTCGCATCGGGCAGTGAGAATCGCTTTGTGGGCCGGTACGCTGCCGTCGTCCAACTCGAATATCACGTCGGCGAAAAGACCTGAGTGCATTAGGTTCTCTTGTCAGTTCGAGAGCTCACGCCCAAGTTTCATCTTCCCGATCGCGATCGGTACCCACCTTGCTCCAGACAGATGTCTTCCAGTCGCTGTCTAACCACCTGCTTGTACCGGTTATTGAGATCGCTATTAACGAACTGCTCCCGCGTCTGAATGCTACCGAGCACCATGAGCAATTGCGGCAGCTCGAGAAATTCTGCCGCCTGCCTGATCTCCTGCGGGCAAGAGCGATCGAGGCATCAAACGGGCGCACCGTCGCGACTTTCGTCGACGTAGAATGATCAATTGGAGGAAAAAAAAAGAAGAAAGAAAGAAAGACACAAGATCTGATCGCTTCCGGATCGCTAGAGGACCATCCTACTAGGCAATGATTCTAGAATGTCGGTGAGAAACAACTGGAAGCGTATCCATGCACGGCACCCCCTCGGTCGAGGTCGACCGTGCGTCGATTCCTCGAGGATCTCCCCCCCGTTGGTCGATGATGTCAAGAACGATGGTCGCGCGGTACAACGGAAGCAATGATTCGCGAGCTATAAGCTGAATGAGCATG